TTGAATGAGAATTGATAATTTGAATTTATGGAATGAGCCGTGTGCTTTTTTACTATGCGAACTCTTGAAAAATGGACATTGCAATTGCCGTAATAGTTTTATCAACGATAATAATAAACGATAAAAAAGCCTCATTAACGGTTGACGTTGCCAAATATATGCAGGTGCATCTGCAGCCAACTGAAATACGTTTGTATAAACGCAACGTAATGGTTGCTCGACGAGCTCGTACGCGACGGCTCTCTGAATGATTAGGTTCGGATTGCGCTTTGTGACAGTGCATCTCCGTAAACGGTGCACGACAAATTTATCGTTATTTGAATTTTCGGATCGAAACTAAATACAGTCGTCTACGAGCTCGAGAAGAAACCCCAGACGCAAAGCGCGCGTAACCTCGCCCGCGCTTAACTTGATTTTGCGCTACCTAATGCGTCGAGAGCAATTGAAGTATAAAGCGGTGCAATCAAGATTAGAGAGAGAAAATTCACTTTGACGCGCGTAGGTTGCGAGGAGAAGATCTTTGGGAAAGTAATAAACGAGAAATGCGCTGAAAAGCTGGGCGCTTTCAAGTGGATTTTTAAGCATCATCGTCCTTCCGGGGGCGCGAAGGGGGAGAGCGCGCCCCGCTAAATCCTACATCTCGCGCCTTCGAGGCCACCGATTTCCCGAAGGAAAGCTCGCGCCCAATTATCAAGCCCAGAGCGCGTCGGCAACTTTTTGCTCGAGGGCGCACTGGGCTTTTCGCTCGGAACTTGATATCGTATATCCGTGTATAACGCATAACGCACGCTCGCAATATTTTGCTTTTGACAGATGCGTGGCGGGACTCTTTATTGGCTTTTCGATGTGAGATCAATTTTTATTCGCGTTGAATCATTATTATTATTATTATTATTTCCTTTGCGACTCCTCGCAGTCTTGACAGAAAGATAAAGGTTGAATTGGATGACACCTAGTGTTTTATGAAAAAACAGTCGCGATTATTTACATCTCCAGTCGAAACTGCTAACAAAGCGCGTAGCCAAAGCTGAATGAAAAATGGATCGGGATTAAAATTACCGGCCAAGCTGACAGGGATAAATAAATTAATTTCGATAACCGAGCACAACGCCTCGGGCGTTCTCGAGCGCGTAACAATCGCGCTGTAGCGAGCATTACATTCGCGCGTAGAAAAAGAACATCTCCGGCTTTGCGAATTACCATCGGGGGCGCGGGCGCACGCGCGCCGTTTCATTTTTCAGCGCGAAATTGAATTCCGAACAGCGCGTCGTAAAAGCGAAGCAACAAGCCAGTATAAATTCTCATTCCGGTGGGCGCGCGCGCGAGAGCGAGAGGGGGGAGAGCCGCGAGCGAGCACACACCGCGCGCAAATTTTACGCTCATCGCGCGCGCGCGCGCGCGTGCAAGACTAACGGGCCGCACGCGCACCCTTTCTCGCCTTCGCCTTTGTTCTCCTGGACTCGTCTTTCGCCGTCCCGCGATCGTCCCTTTTCGGCGGCACTGGGCTTCCGCGGGCAACTCTGGCAGGCTCGGCTGCATTCGCGATCGGAGGGTGCGCACGGCCGCGCTCGTTATTCGCCGATTATCCGCGCGAATAAGGGACACGAGAGTTTACGAAACGAGGGCATTGTTCCGCGAGCACAAAAGCCGGCGTCCGCTTCGCGCGTGGAATTACCCGCCATCTTCGATTTCGCCACCCTTGCCAGCAGTGACGTCAACGCGCACGAGTCCCCGCAGCTTTCCTAATTAAATTAATTGCCGTATCGTAATGTACGCGCGCGCGCGCGCGCAAGACAACACCCACGGGCTGGCTGTGCTTTGTAAATGGATTTCGTCGGGCGCGTCCGCGACGCCAACGAAGATCCCCTGTTTCTCGCGCGCGCACACTGGCCAGTCGACTCGCTCGCGGCCCGTATTGAGCTCGAGCGCCGTGACTCGCTTCACGGTCGCGCTCGGTTCAGCGCCTCTCGAGCGCGCTGGCTTGGCCGTCCTCGCCACGCGAGGTTGAGCAACGTCGGCATTCCAGCAGTCCGAGCTCTCGCGCGCGCCGAGGATAGATATGCCGATCGTATAGGAGACGTTGCAACGAAATTGCAGGCAGCCGCGCGAAGATAACGAGCGATTGGCCGATCATCGATGGTCGCTCGAGAGGCGCGCACACGTCTAGCCGCGGAAGGAGGGCTATCGTCGACGGGGCGCTGCTGCTGTCGTCCGCCTCACCGTCGCGGACCCGACGAATCACGCGCGCTCGCTCGCGGTTGCGGGACGTGGCAGAGAAGAAACGGCCGCCTTGTCGAATTGTGCCGGGCGGTAATCGATCGAGACGACGTTTGTATAGCGAGTAACGCGCGCGACGGGTGACGCAATTATAACGCGCGCGCGAGAAAAGCGTCCCGCCACCCGTGCGTTCGGCTCGTTTCCGACGCTCGCTTTGCCTCGTCACTCGGGTCATCGCTTATATTTCTCGCGAGGATAGCATACAAAACTCACTTTAACGTCACCCTCTCTCTCTCTCTCTCTCTCTCTCTCTCTCTCTCTCTCTCTCTCTCTCTCTCTCTTCCGTTCTCATCTAACGAGGTTTATTTTTAAAATTTTTTGCCCCTGCGAAGTGGCTAAAGACGAGTTGCACGTCTCGCTCGGTTTGCTTTTCCTTCGCGGGCAGTCGTGTGCACGTGTGCGTGTGTGTGCAGCTCAACGCCGTTAATTGCGAGAAAGAAAATGGGCTACGGCCAAATCAAATTTACCAAGAGTGGCACGACGTGCGCGGCTAATTCGTACAACTAAGCGAGCTCTCGGCGCTGCTTGCGCTCCCCGCAGTGAAATTATTGCGACGAGCCGATGCGGACTAACGCGCCGCAATATTGCCGTTATTTCGCTTCGAGCGGCTGACAATGCGCCACGGCGAATAATTAAAACGAAAGTAAACGCGTGTGCGCGCATGGAGATTCTACGAACTCAAGTGCAATTTCATTTAATCATACTATCGCGAGCGCCGGGGGGAAAGAGGAAAAGGAAATATAACGAACGTACTAAGTAATTACTAAAATCCATACGTAAGCCAGTGTAATTTTACGCGCTTAAAGTGTGCAACGGCTCGAAAGCACGTGAGAACAGCAGGCTCTTTATAAAAACAAGAATAAAACAAGAAGAGAAAACCGATGAAACGGTAAAGTAGAAAAGCAAATGAAACGTACGGCGTAAATATAAACAACCACTGCCAAGCTGACTTGAATTTGTCTTCGCTATCGTTACTCCCAGACGGCGTTGCGCGAAGAGCTTGCGGCTTGATCTTCCCAGCTGCGAACGCAAAGGCGAACGTCTGTGCGCGTACAGCTCGAAATCCAACTGATTGCTCGAGCAGCTAAATTTGTGCGCGCGTGCCGTGGACGATTATCGCGAGGTGAGCGACGATCTTCATATTTACCGCAGCTCCGCTCCGATGATTCGCCTTCGATGCTGCTTTTAGCGCCGCGCGAGAATTGGTTGTGACCTATTTCGATCTCGCGCCCGTTAAAACGCGCGGGAGGCGGGAATCCTCGTTGTTGCAGGCGAGCGCCTGTCGACGCGCGAAGATGGCCCGACTATTCGACGGCTTTTCACTTTATCGCGAGCGAAAAGAAGAATAATTGTCAGGCCGCTGGCCGTGGTGAGAGTTTTCAAGAATATCGAACTTCCATCCCTCCACTTGCGCGGCACGTACGCAGATCGTGGTCACGCGATACGTTTCGCGGACTTTTCCATTCGCACCTCCGCGGTAATCCGATATACGAAAAAATGTAGGACTCGCCGGAGCGCCGCCGAAACGTCGATATTATCTCGCGAGCTGTTCGGCTCGAGCGACAGCTCTCCGTGCCGCGGATTCGACGTATTTTTCTCCGCGACGACGATCGCGTTCGTGAGAATCGACGACAGACGGAAAGTGATCCCGGCGATTGGTCGCATGCATCGCGCGTCGAGAGAGATCATCGGCTGAGAGATGCGCGAAACGCTCGCCGGCCGATTGTCATTCCCGCGGCGTCGTCCGATTTACCCTCGGCGGCGCTCGCCCATCAGCCTCATCGGCCCATCATCGACATTTATCGCGAACGCGTACCCCGTCGGGGTGCGTCGGCGAATGGTTTATTCATCGCGTGTCTTTATTTCTCCTCGTCGCCGAGTGATTTCAATGTTAGCCTACAAACGCTCATGTTTCATTTATGACCTGATCGTTCTGCGCCTACCGTGGCTATTCGACATGACGAAGCGTAGGCTGCTATATGGCCCTTCCTTTCGGATGATGTAAGTAAGCCAGTGCTGTCCGCGACGGTATAGCGGATATAATACGTCGCTTCATTTCGTATATATGCGTGTACTGTACGGTGCTTTGCCGGAGATCACGCAATAACGGTATGTGTGCGCTTGTCGACTCGACTCTATCGACGAATTGAGTTTATCTGATACAATGGACACAGAATGTGATTGAAGATGAAGCTGAGCGCAACAATTGATGGACAAGACTAATCGTCTCGATTCCGCGGACGAACAATTCGTATTATCGCAAGCTAATAATGTCTTCGGAGATTTAGTGCTGGACACGCAGATGTAATCAAACTTGAACGGCAAACATCATTTTCTAGGCGAGCGAAATGGATGTTTCGGTCATTGTCGTGAGTACGCTTCATCGCGAAGCAGTTTTAGGCGAAAAAGTGAATAAATAAATAAATAAAGAAAAAACGATACGGAGGACGAGTAATCAGCGGCGACAGCTAAATGAAAAAGCGCGCGTCCTCGACGCGAGCGCTGCGCTAATCTGCAGCGACAAGCCATGCGCGCAAAATCAATATAGCCTTACAACCGATGAACTGCCACCGCCACGCTGCCCGCTGAAAAGAAAGCAGCCGAGAACGCCCTCGCGTCCGTCACCGCGGCCGTCGACGGGAATCCGACGGGACGACGAGAGCACGAGGGGCGGGAAAAAGAGAGAAATCGTAGGTCGCGAAAATACGTGCGCACGCACCTGCGCGCACGTATTGAAAAGGGGATCACCTCGGCCGCCGCGGCTACGCTCGTCCCATTCACAACCACCTGCTCGCCGCGCAAGCATCTCCGAGCTACGCGCTCTGCCGACCCGGAGGACCGACAAGGTGCCGCCACTCTTATTCTTCCCTTCAATAGTAAAACAGCCGATTAATCTTCTCTTGCATATTCATAGGCTATTTTTGTGTTCATCGTTTTGTTCGCTGGGTGTGCTTCGTTCTTTTGCCGACGAACTCTCTGACTTTTGTCCATGCCGCTTCGTGTCTTTTTTAATTGCGTTTCCATTTTCAGAGAGTGCTTCGTTTCAACAATTATCCGGAAAGGAATGCTTGATATCGCGTAGGTAGATTTTAAGTATCGAGGTCGTTCAAGATTTGTCGTCAACTTTTCGGAATTTCTTGTTAGTGAGCGATAAATCAAATACTTTTACTTTGTTTAAGTTGTAAGATTGTCTTCGAATTTTTTCGACGAGTATCTTTGAATCCAAAATTCATGATGACGAATGGTTAGACTGCGAGTAAAAAATCGGCACTCGAAATCAGTGTCTATTGTGCTGTGTGTTTCTAAAATCATTTGACACACGAGTTTTCTTTTCCGCAAGTCCACAAAGATATTTGATATCAATGTCTTCATCACGACAAACTATCTTGCCCTTCTAATCTTTTTCATTTTACGCGGTAACGTATTTTTTGCAAGCTGACATATTCTGTGAAAAACGAAATTTCAGCAAACCGCGAATAGTATAGTAAATTTAAATTCAATTCGATTCGAGTAGTTTAATCAAAATTTATTATGATATTTTTCCTAGTAAGCTAAATATATTTAAGATGACAAAATAAAACAACGCAAATCTACTCAAACAGGGCTTGTTTTCGAACACCGGATACCTCACAACGATCATGTTAGCTTGTTTCTTTCGAGGGGTAATTAATTATGAAATTTGTTGTAAATTAATTAACAATGATGGCAGGATTTTTTCGAATTTTCGTAAAATCAAACATTCAAATAGCAAAAATCAATTTATTTGACTAACAATCGATAGTCGAAAAATCCTTGTCATTTTTTCTGATTAGAAAATAAACAAATAACGTGGGAAAAATTGAACCGTTTCCTCAATCACTCGAATGAGCAATATTCATGATAAAAAGTTACGTGCTTGTGATACAAATTTTTTTTATAAAACATTCCACTCAAGATTCCGTATTGCGCAAAAGTAATAAAATTTTCTCCCGCGAGATATTGTTTTTTTTTTAAACTTTGGTCTATTTGATTTGCAGCTGAACCAGTGTCAATTGAGCAGCAAAGGAGCTATCCAGAGCTTGGCAAGTTGAAAAACAAGATGAAGGCAGTGATGGTCGCTTCGAAATCCAGATCCTCGGCGATATTCTGGGCGATCTTGTTCGTGGCTTTCTTCGGCGCAGGCATTTCCGCAAAGCGTAAGTTGAAAAAGTTACAGCGCGACTTGATAACACGAAAATTCAACTAATTTTAATTGTTAGTTAGATTTTTACGCTTCAAGTCGCTGCCGCTATTCTCGAACAATAAATACAGAAGTTTGTCCTTTTGTATTTTTAACGTCCGCTCGCGGTACACGGAACTGCTTTCATTGGGCGCGACTTCACTGCGAGCTTTTGAAATTCTCATTACTCTCTCGTAGCGAGCGAAAAGTTTGCGCGTCTATAACAATTTTCGATGGCACGCGGTGCTGTGCCTACACGCGTGTCCAGCACGCGTACGTAGTCCGCGGTGGGACTGAAAAAACACAAGCCGAGGACCGACATCTCATACTATCAAAAAATATTATCTTTAGAAAAAAAATGCAAAAAGGGCAAGAGTGAAACAAGAAGGACCAAGTATTTTCTACGCTGTTTTCAATGACGCGGAAAATACCGAGTTATCCGATATTTGATTTCATCAAATTCATCGACATACCAACATCATTCGAAAAAAATGTGCGTGTCAGTATTGAATGACAGATAGTCATTCGTCACTTTTGAAAAATCGTGTAATTTATTCGGTGTCGATGACGTCCAACACAAAAAAAGAAAACAATGAACGCGTAATGGTTAGAAAGTGTTTAAAGTATTAGGAGTAAGAGGGAGGGGTGAAAAGGTCCAGTCGCCTCGAATAACAATAGACCTTGTAGCTTATTCTGACAGATTTGAAATTCGGAATACAGTTTGGGAGCTTTTTATCCCGGTTACGTCTCGGACAAAGGCCGTGACGGGAAAGGCGGTCTCTTCAAGTGGGATGCGAACAAACGACAAGCAAAACTTTGTTTTTTGATAGTTCTTTGAATTCGTGACAACGCCCCTACAATTTCTTTCGTGATTCGACTTGTTCTTTTTCTCAAAGCGCTTAAGCTACGCTTGCTTGTCAACCCCTTCGTTCTCTTGCTACTGCAAGTGCGAACAAAAAAGAAGACTAAACAAGTGCAGCTGGCGAACAAAGCGGGAATGTTAATTCAAAACGAATAAGGCGATAAGCGTTCGCGCTCGCATTTTTCACTCGATAGGTAAGCATATTCGAATGTGGGTATTGCATTAACCGATAAACTAAAAATAATATTCGTTAGATGTATCCGCTACTTTGATGAAACAACGAATCTTCTTTTATTATCAACGCAGAGATAAGAAAGTCGATAGCTTACGTTGTGCTATAAAAGTGCTGCGGAAAAAAAATTTTTGATGCTTAATTAGCTTGTTACCAGTTGATTGCAAAGCTATTCTACTTGAAAAAAATCTTAGTTAATGAACTCATTCCTTATCGAAAAGTAAGCCACACAGAGAGAGAGAGAAGGAGAGAGAGAGAGAGAGAGAAGCTCAAGTTCAAACATATACCTGATAAGTTTTATCATCTACAGAGCAGCAACGATAATCAATCGGCTTTTCATCGCTCATGCAATACACGCCTTTGATAGGGCTTCGCATTCATTTTTTAGACACGTTTGATTGAAAGAACTGCGCTATCTATATTCTAATTTTTGCTCACGGAATCATTCTTCTTCGTTATTTCATATATATACATATACAGCATCTCGCGCTTATAACGTAATTTGTTCTTTTTGCTTCCACTCATACCATCAGTCTTTCTACAAAGAATGATACCTCGCTGTTTAGATTTTATTTAAAAATAATTACATCACATTCTCTTTTCTGAGTCTACTTGTCAGTCTTCTTTTCACGAAGTCGCGTTATTATTCTTAATAAACTTGATTTGATTTTTAGCAAATATTTCTTTTTGATAATTTTCAGATTTATCTGGGCATTGCATAACTATATCTTAAGAGTTCTTCTTTTAAGACAACACTGAGAATTACGTCAATCCTACGATTACTTATCAGGAATAATTGTACCGTAATACAATTTTTCACGCATCCCTTTGACGAACTGACGAACTTAGCTTTGATTACTCGTAAAAGAGATATTACAAATAAGTTTCGCTTTCAATTGGAAAGTAACCAAGTCTCATTTTGATTATCTTATTTTGAAACTGGGACGAATATACACCATCGCGCGGCTGCTTGGTCATTGTCGCAGCAAAGTAATATTACGAGCTGAATTAGATAAAACTTATATCTGAAGAGTTCCAAACGGACCGATAACTTTGCCGAGTGTCGGTCACTCTATAACCGAGGGATGATTCAGAACTTCACTCGAGCGTTATCTCGCGCGGTGCTGCTTATTAAACCACCTTTCGAGTAATAACGTAGGCAATGGTCACGCGAGAACTGCGATTTTATGGCGCAACTGTTGCTGTCGAAATCAATAAACCCTCCGCCAATCATTTCGATAGACGAATAAGCCAAGGGCGGGGGGGGGGGGGGGTTAAGCGAGCTCATCGCCCTGAATAAACAGTCGTTGCACAGAGCTTGAAATTGGCCGCCGAGAGAAGTTGCGGTGTATAGCTCGGGAAGGGTGAAAGACGAGCGCGGAGAGGCATTAGCTTGGACATCCAGTCGCCGTACTAAATCCCACGTTTTTCTGTTTCTCGCGCGGCAAAACTTGCTGCGCGACGAGCAAAACAAACCGAAGGGCTCTCGCGACACAGACACGAGTAGTTTAGCAATAGCGCGCCGAGCTTCTTCGCCGAGGCGGCTTTGCCATTTGACGAAGGTCGAAACGATCGATTCCAAATCTTTAACTATAGTGGTGATCAAGTTTCACTCGATACACGACCGGTTAATGTGGAAGCCTCGCGTTCGCTTCCCAAGCCACGTGACTATAAATTTACGCAAGCTCGCTCTGGATTATGCGTAGGGTTGGCACTGTATAATGATCATTGTGATTGGTACGCGAAGTTGTGCGTTTATTATTGTAACTTCGAAATTTAAACACGTATTGAACGCGTTGAAATAAGTATTCAATGGGATTGCATCAAACTAACGGATGTTCAACTGAACGTACAAAGCTGTACAGTTAGTGTGAATATCTGCGGATGATAGTTGGAACTGAAGCTCTGTAGAGCAGTTTAAAGTTAAGAGTTACTAACAACGTTTGGAAGGAAGGTAGCTTTGATCGCAAGAGAGAGAGAGAGAGAGAAAAGAGTTTTAAGGACCAGCTGCAAAAGTCCGAAACTCAATGGAAGAGAGTAAACTTTAAAGAACGAGTTCGGCGAGTTTCGAGCTTGAGATTACCCCTAATAAAGAAATTTTCTTGCACTATTTCTAATACACGTACGCAGTCTGTGGAACGTAAAAATGCAAACAAAAAAAAGGCAAACTTTTTTTTTCTTCGTTTTCCCGGAACCACTGGATATTCACTTATACAGTTTTGTCGTCAAACAATTTGTTGATCACCATTTTAGGACCGGCAAACCACGGTCCTCGAGTACTTTGCAAATCTGTTGGAGGCATCGAACGAGCGAAAGAGTTGCGTGACACTCAACGAGACTCGCAACAAAGCGAATCGGCCGATCATGCGTAATTAATTTACGAAGAAAGAAAACGTGTGCAAAAAGGAATGCGTATACACAACACGTGACACAAGCTCTCGCAGAGGGTAAACGTGCGTGCCGTGTCTCGTTGAACGCGGTCCGCACGCGTATATTCGCTCGAGCGTGAGAAAATCAATTTTCGAAGTGTCACTCTGTCCAACAGTGCTGGAACCCACTCGCGCATTACATACGTGTCTCCTTCATCGCTCTCCCGCTGGACATTTCACTCCGTCGCTCGTGCGTTTCTCCATCGCGGGAGCTTTTCGCCCGCGAAGTACTTCCGTTTCTTTTGCTTTCACGTTTTTTTACTTTTTCCGTTTTACGCGAAAAGCGATCGAAGCTCCGTTCGATTATTCGCTCTTCGACTCGCGTTAAACTTCGCGGAACTTCCCGCGCATCTTTCTAATTAACTATGATCGCGCGCTCAAACACTCTCTCTCAAAACAATTTGCAAAGCGGCTACGCCAACTACCCCCAGGGCGATATTGGAAAGCACGGGAAGCGCCGGGCCCGCGAGATCGTTCTCTTTGGCGTTGGCGAAAAATGGCACGAACGCGAAGTGGCCCGCGTTGATTTTCCGTGCCGACGCGACTCGTTTCGGCAGCGAATCGCTTAGTTCGCGCGCGGCGAATGCCACATCGCTAACGTTCATGTTTACGGCCACTTCGCCGTTGTCGTGCTCTCTCTCTCTCTCTCTCTCTCTCTCTCTCTCTCTCTCTCTCTCTCTCTCTCTCTCTCTCTCGATTACGCGTATTCTCGACGGGAATCCAAGCGCGCGCGATGTATCGTATTTCCTTTGTACTTCCAACTGCTAATTGCGCGTTAATTAATAATTTTCGTTGGAAAACGCGACGGCACAAATTGGATGATGATAATTTAGCTAAATGAGATCACTCGATTGAATTTCTTGGATATAATCCTATACAACGCCTTAGTCCTCCCCGCATTGTCAAACAAAGCTCGGCTTTCGAAGAATCGCCGATGTAAATTCTTACAAGTTCGTTTCGACTGTCTGCTCGCGAGGTCTTCGATCGTTGGGTGTTCAAGGTTATCAACGTCGGGTCTCTCCGCTGGCGCGTTCGATCCAGCAACAAGTACGCACCTGAAAAAGTTCATGTAGCAAAGCTGACGCGGTGGCGATAATCCGCGGAGCAGCGGCAAAAACGAAAGTTCAATCTGTGCGTCATCTACCATCTACCATCATAAGCGACGGCTATAACGCGCGTCGGCCGTGACGAAACAAAAAAAAAATAACATGACGTATGCGCGATTGGCATGCTTTGCACGCGCGGACAATCATTTAAACCTGATGCCAATTTGATTGTTGCACGGGGTGTAATGAGATATATTACACCGGCGTAATTGCGGAAAAATGACAAGCGCTTTTCTCCTCCTTCCGCCACTTCGCGCACAGATTGATGCCGTCCATTTGAGAGTTTATTAACTCGTAATTGTGCGAGTAGCAGGACGGGGAGGGTTTGTCCGCGTTCTCTATTATATCGAGCAATAATTATTGAGGTCGTCGCTGGAGAACGAACGATTATAAAGTATTCCCTTGTTGTTTCTATGCACGTGTAAAGGCATGCTTGACCTAGTGTTGGAGCTGCAACAGAGTAAATTATTGAATATTATTCGTGTCGCGCGACGCACCGCGGCATATTGTCACTGTTTCCAAGGTATACATTGTCGTTCCGTCAATTGACGCTTGGCGAATGATCTATTTGCACGCCCGCCGATTTGCGCCGTCATATCGAACTAAAAGATCGACCCCCCCCCCCTCCATATTCTCCCTTGGGCCCATCAATGTTCATTTCATTATTTTTCGGAGGTATCTTCGCCGAATTTTCGGACTTCTAGTATTTGCTGATAATCGTGGAAGCGCTGGTGATCGAAAAGCTAAAACGGTAACGCGAAACTGCAACAACACTCGCGCAAGCTTCGATCGTCAGCTTAATCTCGAGTAAAGTTCGAATCATAGGCGTGTGAATTTCTCGCACATTATTGCATCGCAAAACGTGAAACTGAAAGCGCACGCAGCTCAGCGCCGATCATCGCGAGAATGTTGGATTTGCATTAAACGCTGACGCGACGATATGCAACGATAAAATTTTCATGTCCATGCGCTAGCGTCATTTAAATGCGCAACTAGCAATTTACGAGCCGTCGGTGTCGGGAACGCGCATAGATTTTAACACGGATATGTACCCTTTCAAGGCAAACGTAATTTTCAGTGATGTGTGTCAGCTACAGATCAGCCGTAATGGTAGTGCAACGCGGAACTGAATCATTGACGACAAAATAGCCAAACGTCATCACAAAGAGAGAGAGAGAGAGAGAAAGAAAGCTGAACGTCCATCTGTGCGCGTATGTAATGCTCGCGTAACGACGATATTATCGCAGTCAAAACGTTCGTTAACGCGCGCACGTCAAACCATCACATGCTGCTCGCTCCCGTTGTGATCGATTAGTTGCGTATTTTTCTCTCTTATGGCAAATAACGACGACGGGTAATAATTCAGGTATAGTTAAATCTAATCAGAACGGCGCGAGACTTATTAGCCCGGAATTATTTAATAAGCTCGATGGATCGTCAGATAAGATTTAAATGTTAAAGCGAGACGTTAAAATTGACGACGCGTGAAAGGCGCTTTTGTTGAATCAGTTTCACGCTCAAATTGTTCTTGCTATATTTTGATTCTTCGATAGACTTTCGAAAAAAAAAATAGATTAACGTGTATCGACCATGCGAATGTAGAATAGCATATTGGGAAGCCACCTTTGTGTTCTCAGGTCACAACTACACTCGAAACCCACAAAGGGAAAAAATATTTCTCACTAAAGCGGTTTAAACGCTTAACTGTATATTTTTTGTAACTATATATAAGAAATATATATGAAATATTTGGTTAAATAGCTTAATTTTCATTTGAATTAAAAAAATTGTAGCCACCCAGCCTGAACGAAATCATATTTGTCGAAAAATCTTTTATGAAGCATGACAAGGTAGCTCGTATGTCGGGATTGATTGTGATAATCTGATAAATACAAGAAGTATTATACTGATACCCGTGTTCACAAAGTTCGCAAAGCAAAACAAGTGCTGAAGTAAATAAGTTCGTTATACAAAGTAGCGTTGCAATCGATAAACTGGCCTCTCTATAATTGAATGAATTAACGAGCGCCACCTCTCTAGCGAGTTCGTTTGAGCTAAAGGGAAACAAATCGGATTAACCGATTGCTCAAGCCACGAGGAAGATTTCGCTCTTAATTTCGCTTCGAAATGAAAAGTCGAGCGAGCGAGGGAAAGTGTCGCGCGGCAAGGAAATGAACTGCATCGCCTACTTATTCCTTTTAACGTTTCGCCAAGGCAAATGATGATTTGGAAGGATAACTGAATGGTCTCAATCCGGGCAAATTTCTTTTCTTATTTTTTTTTAGTGGGGTTTTTTCAGTTCGCTTTCTTTCCGCGACGAGCCGAGACGAAGATCGCAAGCACACACACGTTAAAGCGAATTTTTCATTCATTGTGCGGTACGCGGCTACCAGGCAGAATATTCAGGTGGAAAGTTCGACTGGTTTTTCAGCTTACCATATATCTAGACTTAGCGAATCCCGAGGTTTCACGGTCCAAGTCCAAAGTTACGACATACTTATGATTTATGCAGCCACAGCACTTTACCCTCTGATTTATCATTCGGCGTGTTTATTAAGAATTGACGGCTAGAAAGCACACGCTATTTGCATCCATTTCAGTCATATATAATTTGTAAAATGTGTATTACACCATTTCTCGACATCCTATTTCATATAATTATCCACGTCAAAATAGATAAATATTTAATACATTTTACTCTGCAAAATGAAGGTGGTTGCTCAGCATTCGGTCATTCGTGCTATGGTGGCCACGGCAAACGCTCCAATCCCGAGACTGCGGACATCGAGATACTGCCGAGAAACGCGAAGGACGAGGGACGCATTGATTACGATATTGGACACGCCAATGGTGAGAAAGTTTTGCTCGTACCGTCGCAAGGTTACAATCGACAGGATCAACGCCTTATCAATTCGCTGCATGATCGGCCAAATTTCAATGTCTGGTCTCTTCTTGTCAGGAAATTGGTGAGAACATTGTGACGATACATATTTCTTATTGTAAATAGTAATACGCTTGACATTTTGATAAAGTAAATTTTCAATCTCGAATTCATTTTGTATGAATGATTTGGAAAATTACAAATCCAATTTGTCATCGAAACATTTCAAACTTAAAATTTTCTTTTTTAGCTGCTACCGATGAATCGTCAGTACAAGACTTATGAAGAAATCGAATAATCACATCATACAATATTATAAAAATCGTTACAATTGCTATAAAACTTCTAGACATCAATAATTTGACAAATTTAAAAACCGCCTGATCATTGGCAATACTGATGATTCACAAATTACAATTACGCTCAATGTTACAAAAAAAATATTTTTTGATGTGGATGTTGATAAATATTTTACAAATATATATTCTTTTTTGTAGCTATTTGAACATTATCAAGTGATTTCATTGGCCATTGACGTTCGCAAATAAATCTATACGATATTGTCGTCATTTTATATTGGATAATTTGGTTAAATCTTAACACACTTAGGTTCAGCAGATAGAACATTTTACTGAATGTTAAATAAATAATAGATGAAAAATCCTAATCCTAATCAAATGTATATGTACATAAGTTGTAGTGTATGTTCGAAAAAATCATCGTTACCTATTAAAAACAATAAAAATTAATTCACGTTTCGTTTGATTGATCAAAAGAATTTGAATAATTCATGTCAAATATTGATTGTTATATAAACAAAATGTTACAATGATTTAATAATCACTTGAAAACAATGTACTACTGTATCGAAACGAATATATTTTTTACTCGGTGAAGCCAAAATACAAAATTCACTTGATTTTATACAAATTCAAGCTAAATTTATGATATTAGAAGCTTATTCCATTGTACAAATTAGTTAACATATTAATTTATGTAAGATAAACTTTCAAATACATGACAGTCATTTTCTTTGCTTACAGCTCGATTAAAGTGATTAGCTAAAATGAAAATCTTAAATAGCATATTTAGTATTATATTAATAAATGAATATTATTTGAATGATAAATTGACTTATTAATTTTCCTTCGGAGTAAGGTGGGTAAATGTACTGTACTTCATCAAATATTAATTAAATTTAACAAAAATATTGTCAGTCATCGATGATATAACATGGTATCTTAAAAAGTGACCTATTATTCAAATCCATATGTAGAATCTCACACGTACAAGTTCCTTTATATTATTTGTATTTTAGTATAGAGAGACTGTGAGTATTTTGCTTTCATGAATAGGAAGCCTTAAATCATCATTTCAAATCAATGGCTTGAAAAGGTTTTATAGCGGTTTATCAGTCATCTTTCTTTCTATTTTTCATGATACCAAGAAATTTACCCATTATTATGATGGTTCTATTCACATATGATGACATATTCCAGCAATTAAGTGGAAAGCGTTCAAACGTCAGAAACAAATTTCCATTTGCATTTCTTAACACCTTTGGATAACAGTACATATTTTATGTCTCACTTTTAATATTACATTGAAGTAATTTGTCACGTAATGTCAACTTTAACTTCATTCATAAATTATCAATCATTCCCAATTTAAAAATAATGACTTTTAGACATCATTCTTCAAGATGGACAAAATAAAGTTTTTTTTTATACAAAATAATATCCGATAGAAAAAATAGATAATCCCTTTTGATCCTTCAGGAAACGCTCAGTCAATTCAGTATAGGTGCCAGCAGTATCGTATTATGTACTTACAACTTTGGGCTTAAGTTTATTTTTGTTTTACGTGAATTTTATGAGTGGTCTATTCCCCCACGCCTTATAGGAGGCATTTTACTTAGATGGATTATAAAAAGTGTTTTTATGTCAATCATAAAAAAATATTGTAATGCACCTTTAACAATCTATATAATGTATTACACAAAGATAGTAGTTACGTATCATTTTCAGTTTTGCAATGTTTTTATTTCATACGTTTTTTATTATTAGCAATTAAAAATTTTCTGGTTTAATAAAAATATACTCAGCATTTATAGTGTTAATAGAATGAAATCGATAAACAGTAAAACCGTGCAAATTTCTAATAAATATTTTACTTAAAAAAAAAAGAGTTTAATTTGAAAGATGAGTAATGGTATATTATCTCAATGTACCCTGCATTTATACTCTATAATAAAAAATGTCTGTTATTTTTCAATATATTATAATTATAAATAAAAATTAAATGTTACTATGATAATTGACTACATCAATAAAAAGTATATTTTTACGATTAAGAAAAATGTCAATAATTTGTGGCACTAAAGTAACTGTCGATCATTATCTTATTTCGATTTTTGTTTAAATACTAATAACAGACTAAAAGTGCCGCATATCGCAGGATGATAATATTACCGACATCTAGTCAACAAGAAAGTGATGGTAAGCTAGATATCTAAAACGGCAAATGTGATTACAATGAAAACCGTATAGAAGCACGATTGTACATAACAAAGAGCCATGGCCTTGAAAAAATAAATTAACGTTACTTAGAAACAAGTATTTATTTATAATTTTTAACATTCTACAGATTTTTTTAGCAACTACGAAAATAAAGTTTAACCGTAATTAATAGCAGATGTATCATAATAAATAATCTTTTAGTTAACAGTAATAGAGTAATTACGTCAGCTAAGTAATAAATAATCAGTAGTTACATATTTCGAATACATTAGTTTTCGATAACTATAACTAACTTTTCCAAAACGTAAGATATTTAACTAACAATTATTTTCATTGAATTAGGGCGCATAGAGAGAAATCAGAATTCGTTTACAGTCAAAACACAAATTTTCGAAATCATAATAAAATGAATACCTTGAAAATTAATCAGTTAAAACTCATCAATTAAAAAAATATATAATCACTTCTATCGATGTGCTTGAAAGTGACGATTTGCAGTTTGTTACATTTTCTTTGAAGTTTAGTGTGTGTGTGTTTGTGTGTGTGTGTATTATATTCATTGAGTCTTATGCATTCCTTTTTTCCTCGTTTTGTTATTAGCCTGCTAAAAGACACTGGCACAGCTGAAATATATATTATATAACAGTTACCCTTTCTTAAAATTTTTAAATTCAACGTACGTAATGTCACTTTATGTTTAAAATACCAGTCTCAAATAGCAAATACTTGTCTACTTCTTCAAAACTATACAGATAAAGTGAGGCGCACTTGGAACTACGTTGCTGTGGAAGCAAGATTTAGGTATATCGTTAGAAATGAAGAATGCTAGTGTATAGGATTTTCCATTTCAAACTTTGATTTTATGCTCATCGGTTACAATTAATTTGAAAAAAATTCAAATGTAAATTAACTTTACACAAAAGTATTACTCAATTGAAAAATATTGCATGAAAAATCAGCTCGTAAAGCACTTAGGACTTCGTGATTATCCAAATTTGTACGTGATTGATCTGTAATCTCAAGAGTTGAATACTAAAACGCAATCAAGAATCGAGGAAAAATGGTTGTACTCAATGACGCAGATCCAGTTTTGAGAAAGCGTAGATTAATTCAGTGAAGAAAATAGAGAAACGAATGAGGTTGTTTACTTTTGCTTTTAGTCGATGTTTCTCTGTAAATGAAAAAAGAAAGACAATCAAATTAAAAAAACAAAAACGCACATATTGCTTAAAATACGACGACGTAAGTGTAATTTACCAAAATTTTGTAGAATCCAGCCTTTATTGCGCGATCGTTATCATTTTTGGACAAATCTCTTTGATCCGGTATCAATGGATTATCAGGTTCGTCATCTGCTAGCATTTGATCGCTTCTCGCCAAATCCTTGAGCTCGGCGTTTCTGTCAATTTTGTCCACCTTAATGCTGTCAAAATATTTGCCGAAGTGTGAATCTCAATCGCGAGCCGTTATGCAATTAGCCTCGATTCTCACATCGTCAGGTTGATTGTGTTACCGTATCGAAATTAATACACGATCCTCGCGACGTAATTGCATTACATTCAATGCGGAACACCAATATAATTCGTGTACTTGACACCGCAGAGTCGTTGCCAGACAATACAACAACAACAACAACAACAACAACAACAACAACAAAAATTCCATAGTGGAAAAAAAAGTAAAGTGAATTAACATATTTTTACGTAAATACGAGTTGACTCGTGGAAAGTAAATACGAAGGTAAGTGCTATAAGTATTGCCTTTTATCGTAAATCGTGAGAAGAGGGTTAGAAACATCTGCGGCATGCATGAATTTTGCTCGTAAGATCTCAAGGGAGCGTAAGACTCTTGGAGCTTGTTCCGTTAAAATTCAACGAAGTCCATGAAATTTGAGCGAAAATGCATTTATCAGCTGGCGCCTCGCGCATCAATCGTCTTCTGCTTTTCGCAACACTCAAGAGCCAAGAGAGCCGTATCGCAGCTTTACGAGCCTGCGTGCATTCGGTCCGGCTGATAAATAGTAACGAGCGAAACGTAACGGGGCACGAGTGCGCACCTGTCCTCGTTGAGAATCCGTGCGGCGCGCAGCTTGGTCGCGAGCGGCACCTGCATCAGCTGGCGGTCGACGAGTCGCGAGAGCAGCCATCGCTCGTCCAGCGGCGACTGGCGCCTGCTCTGCACGCCGACGCTGCCGTCGGCGGGACGCAAGGCTCCGATGACGTTGCCGCCGCTTCGCTTGCCGTGAGCTGCGCAAAATCAACGTTGCGAATGACGATCAGCGGCGAACCGCGAAAGCTCGCCGATGTAGATGAATTCCGTCGTCGCGCGCATTCGCGAGCGGAAAGAATCCGAAAGATCGACGGTCAATTGCGGTTCGAGACACTTACCACCCCAGCACGAATGCCCGTAGCTCAAGCAAGAACCTGAAACTCGAATTAAAACGTATTGCTATTAGACTTGCCATGAAAGCCATGAAAAATCACTCGCGGATAATGCTTTTACGAGAGAAACACTACTACGAACAAAGGAAAAAAAAAAGAAAAGAAAGGGAGGGAGCGACAAAGAAGCCTCGTTACGAAAGTTTTCGAATCTTCGTATCTAGGTTACCCTTTAGTCGAACCCACGGCAGGAGGATGTGGCTTTCGGCGTTGATTGCGAAATTGCTATATGCTAATCGCGACATTCAAAAATCCATAACGTCATGATCGACGCGCGGGGCTGATTGAACAAAAGCGCGAATAATGACTATTCACTGAATATCGGCCGGAAATCCGCTAAGGTAAGCCGTGGAAAGAGGTGATCAGCGGCAGAGGGACAACAAAGTCGTTCGGCCAGCCGTGGTGCCGCGCGGAGGCCTGTACGGTTGTCCTTTTATCGGGCTATTATTGCACACGTCGACGTGGTGACTCCCGGGCCAACGTAAATCAACAGGTGCGCGCGCGTTCCGAGTCTTCTCACCGCGGTGAATTATTGCCGACCGACCACGGAAGATAAAGTCCTCCTATCGCCGATATGATAAGCTTTTTTGCTTTTTTATTATTATTTCGCTTTCGGTGTAATGAAAGTTTGCTTTCAAAAGGTTACACGCGAAAAGCTCGCGAGAGTTTACGAGTGTATGCCTGTCGCTGAAAACTCATAACTGATTGCAAGTTTTCCTCATTTTTTTCTTTCCTATCATTTTGAAATTTCATTTTTCGAGATAGCATCCGAAGATGCAGCGCGCTCTTAACGGGAAAATCGAATCGTGCACAGCTGAAAAATTCCATCTCTCTCACACACAATCAGGATTACGTGCGTGACGTCAGTAACTTCTTCCAGCTGCACGCTAGGAGAAGAAATGTAAAAAAAAAAGAAGGAAAAGAAGAAAAAGAAATGGAAAAGAAACGCTCTTATTGTTGTGTCGAATACGCATTGACGATTATGTTGAATATCAGCTTTCCGACAAACACAATTCTGACGCACGTAGCCTCTCGGGATTTCACATTCCTGAAGGTATTCATTTCCAACTCCGACGCGCTACGCGCTGCAAACATTCTGTTGGCGCGGGCATCAGTTTGTGGAAATATTTTTTACAAATAATTGTAATTCGCGCGGGCGAATTCGTGACAGCCTGAAAACAAGTTTGTTTTTGTTTGATTCAATATTTCATTGAAAATCAACGTATATTCTTTGGATAAAGAAAAGAAAATTGAGGTGAAAGAGCGTGAATGATTGATAGCGCGACGTAAGATCATGAAAGATGCGAACCACAAAACGAATTGATAATCAGCCAAGAGTAAAATCTCGTGTTAAACCAGCTTCGAGCAGGAAAACAAGAAGAAGACTCCCCCCCCCCCCCCTCTCTTTCTCGAGTCGTCCCCACAGAGTCGTAAATAAGAATATTTTCTTCTTTTCCCCCCCTTTTTTTTTCTTTTCGTCTACCTATTCAATTCAAATCGTACCCGCAAGTTTACACGCGGGTACGGTTACGGGTACATCATAAGGACTCGGTGAAACTTTAACAAGCCCATACGTACGCTCTTAACTATTAATCGGCCGCTTCGTACGAAACAACCTACGTGAGCGTGCTCTGTACGAAAGAACGAACTTTGCGCGGAATATTGCTTGGGAAAGAAGTTTAATTAAATCGAAGGGGTGGCTTTACAACTGTGGAGTCGTAAAGTTGATTTGAAAATTTGCTGGCAGCCTCCTCGCGACTCCCGGCGCGGTATTTTTCCTTGAAAAGTGCGCCGAGAGGTGCGCGAGGATGACATGTAAGGAGGTTCGCAAAATCGATCTTGTTACCGCAGGCGGAAACTGAACGCACAAGTCCATTCTGTTTGCCTTTGCACGTTTCAGTCCCTCTAACAGCATCAAGTCCCTTTTTGCGATTTCGATAATGCACCGTGAAAACAGAACAAAAGTCTATATTTCAGAATAAATAAGTAAGTAAAAGCAAACCAGGCATGTTTATTCCGTATTCTTTCTGGAGAACCTACGCGGACCGCATCGATTGTCTGTAGCTCTAATGTGATGCTTTTTCGCCGTTTACGCGTAAATGGCGTATCCTTATGCTAATGCTCGGGCGTACTATAACACTTGGCAATTACCGTTTCACTTTGAACGTTACGTTGAAGCGGAACCTTCGATTCTCTCGCCAACGATCTCGATGCGATTTATAGAATTCGCCCGATTAATTGAATGGAATGTTAGCGTTAAAGGCTGATTCCAAACAAATAAAGGACGGAGCTGATTTGCAGCCGCTGAATTTCATTGTCTTTTTATTTTTATAAGAATATGACTCATTTTTCGCTAAAAATGTACAAAAGTCAATAGGCTTTTGCGGTGAAAAGTCATCGTCTGCGCGATTAAAAACAAAAATGTACAAGTCAAATCGATACGAAGCACGGTGGCATATTTTTCATTTTCTATTTTCAAAATTTCTTATAAGCCGCAATTTTCACCCTATTCTGACGATTTACTAAAAATTACTCGCAATTAGTTGTGCTTTTTAATATTCAAGTGCTTTACTTAAATCATTAATATTATTATTATTATTAATAACATAAATGAATAACTAACACATTAAAGAAAGTGAAACTTTCAGAGACAAATGTTCTGAACACGCAATATGAGTTTTAAGGACAAATAAAAAAAACATTGCAAATTATCTTACCAAATCAATAATTTAACACTATCTATAATTTAAATAATCATACGAAGCTGTTATAATGAATAATTGAAATAATCTTATAAACTGTCGGCCTTGTCAATAATGTTTGTATGGTGTGTAAATATATATTTTTAACATTTCCTATCCACAGAATCTGAATTCTCCTTTATGCACAATAAATATAAATAATTTAAGTGTACAATAAATAACAAATTAGCATGATCGCGATATTGGTTTATCCAATAACAGTTTGAATAGGAAATAGAATAGAAATAGAATTTCTCATTTGTAGTTGGACTGGCAACGAGTTACATTCTCTAGCTGATATATATTCACTCCTCAAGCGAACAGGTAAATAAGCACACAGTTTTGTGATACTGCATTGTAATAATTGACTGTAATATTCGATTGGTAGGGTTTGTTTTATGAAGATACCGATTCCACACGATTTTATTCAATACAAATTTTTTAATTTTGCTTATTTGAAATTAAAATACGATTTTCCTAAAAAATGACATATTATTTTACAATAAGGGTGTTCTCTTATTCAGTGTTTCTCAGTGGTACATATATTTTTTTAAAACATCGATCGCTTCATAATTGCATAAGCTTTATTTTGCAGTTTTCTATATTGTCTTCTTATATTGTTTCTTAGTTTCAAAACTTTAACAAAATAAAGCTTAATGAATTCCGAAGCGATTGATGTTTTAAATAATATAAATAGCGGTCTTTTTTTTAAGTTATTGACAATGACATCGTTAAGAATCGGCGCAGCGCCGCTAAGCCGTATCCCTAAATCACTTCTATAATTTTTTTTAAGAATTTTTAAATCTTATATCTGATATACGCATACTTGGAACGTTGTCAATCACGGTAGTAATGAAAAAATTTGATATTTTGAAAATCCGTAACAGACTTTTGTTGATCGCAGTTACGTATTTCGCAACTATCGACGATATAATTTTTTATAAATAAATAAATATTTATAAAATATTAAAAAAAATATTTTTACTTCAATACATCAATAACTTTTATAACAGCGAAATGAATTTAAAAAGTGCACTTTTCTCTACGTGAAGCCACTACTGGGAACCACTGAACAAGAAAACATCCTTAATTAGCACAAATTATTCTACATGACATGATTGTATACTTGTTCATTTTTTTAATAAAAGGCAAAATCTTAATCATAGAATTTTTTCAAATATTTTGTTATTCCTGCAGAAATAATATTTTAATAAATACTATTTTATGTTTTCTGTTCAATTAAAAAAAGCACTATGTTTAATATATAAAAGACAGCTGGTGAATTATGTGAAATGATCGGGAACACAAATGATCTAAATCAGAATAAGCTCGATATTATTATTCAAAAACAAAGCTTTTTGTTAACATATAATATGTACATGAAAGCTATTAGGAAAATAGCCATTTTTAAAAAGAAATATGAAACTTTTATAAATAAAAGCTTGAGTGTGAAATTCACTAAAGATCTGGAACTGTTGACTGCGACAATAAATAATAAAATAGGGCAATGACGTATTAAGTCGTTTGATGAAGCTAAATCAGAGACGACGAAATTCCGGCTTATAAAAGATTTCTCGGAAAAAAATGAGGTGCAATCGCGATATTGCACCTTAAATTCCAATGACACATACTCGAAAATGTCCACTCGACGGCGGCCATTAGAACGAAGCGCAATTTCCAATCTCATCGTAGACTCTTTCTCTCTCATCGCGTCTTCCGCGACTGAAACATTCAGCGATTGAATAAGCCCCGTCGAAGGTTGCAAAACGGTTGGCAATCTATACTTGATGAGGGTACACGCAGCGGCGGCAATAACCGATTTGTCTTGCTCCATTGTGGCTCGCAGCAGCGAGGGAGCCGAGGGAAATTCGTCGGGCTCTCGTTTCCCGCGCAGCCGATTGGAAAACCCGTTAACGACGACGGATGACGACGAGCGCGAAACGCAATCTTTATGGCTTTGTATATCGGCAAACGTCGCCCGAGATTTCCACAGTGGCTCTTCTCGCTACTGCGGCAGTGTTTGATTTTCCGTTTGCTTACATTCGAGTGCCGAGTGTGAGAGCGAAAAGTTGTCGAATTTGACGCTAAGAACTCGTAGGTTGCGTTGCTTTTTGCAGCAGTTTAAACAAAAAGAGCAATATTTTTTTTATAAATGCTGTGCGAGGAGAATGTCGTGTTCTGCGAAAAAGTTTTCTGGCCCGGTTCGTTAAATTACATTAAAACGATACGACGTTTGACGATAGTTTTAGATTGAATCGCTAATACAACTTTGTTGCTCTTTCAATAGGCATGGAAAAGTTCATTAAAATAAAAATTAGTTTATACTCTCGAATCACTGGATTTTTGGTTAGAACATCGTAATTTTTACGGGAACGCGTTTCTTTTAAGACTCCTTGGGAAGTAATGCGATATCGCAAAGAGGAAAATATCGTCACCCGTAATGAAGCTAACCAAATTATCTCGAGTAAAAATGCACTTTAAGTGTAAAATTTATGCTGATCCAATAACTCGCATTAACGTTAATTTAACTTTACTCAATACTGTGCAGGGAAACTTTTCATTCTCTACTACAATCTAGACGGTTAAGGACGATTAGAATACGAACTTTTGTGAGTTGTACCTGATGCGCTGCCAACCAGTGATGACGCCAGTACGACTATAGCAGCTACACAGTAGATGTTCTTCGCGAAAACCAACTCTGAGTTTCCTTTCATTGTTACTAGATTTGATCTCGTCGGTGTTTGGTCGCCAGTAAATATGTGCGATGGATGATGAAACCTGCAATTTAAGAAAGATTTTTAAATTAGTCAAAGTGCGATAGAAGAACACAACGCTCACATAATTATTTACCTATCCAATTATTCGTATTGCATTATAATCATTTAAACTCCGCCAGTTGTGAAATTCGTTACTGATTAAATATGTCATATACTGGATTAGATTTTTCATTGTTTTTTTGTGGAAATTATTAAAAAATTATTTAGATAAAACGACCAATGCTAAAATGATATGTCAATAAAACAACAACAAAAATAACCATCAAGTAAACAGCGTACTGATCAATTGTTCTACTATGGCGAAAACCAAACTCCATTCACAGCCAAAACCATTTACAGGTAGCGCGAAATTCCAGTAGACAAATCGCTTTTCAGTCAGACGCGCTAACTTCCTTGCACGATAACATCCTGTGCAACAATATATCAGTATGCAAAGTTCGCGGGTCGCGCGCCAACTTGCGTCGGGCACACGTACGTGCGCGCCGTAGCGGGGCAAAATTAATAATTCGCCCGATCATTCAATGAAGCTCTCGCTCTCTCGCTACGCGCGCACGCCAACTTTGTCGCGCCACGTTAACGAAGCTCTGCGCTCTCGTGTGACTGCGCACTCCCGATGTCAGCTCGTTTGCGGCCGGAGCGCGATAAAACTCGCGCGATCGTCGTCGGGCGCGTAGGCAGATCCGAGCTTCCGGTAGCTTTTCGCAAGGCGAACCCTTGAGCACATACGCCGCGAAACACGCGAACAAGTTTGCCAATCAAATTGCAAATCAAGAGATAATCCTTCTGCTCGCGGGAGACGGGGACTAATATTTTAACTAACTTTAGTTGGTCAACGATCGCGCTTCGCTTAACCCGATCCACAAGCAGCGCGCCGCCCGTGCCGCGCGCGCTCTTATTCTAAAATAATCGAACTTGCTGTTTGTCTTTCATTTGATCTTGCTGGGAAGAATGACGTCAGACAGCAACGATTATAGTGTCACAGGTGGTCTTTGACAAAACGTTGCTTTACTTTCGGGATTGACGAGTTCTTCAACGCGCTCTGCGATTCAAAAACGTATCAATTTTGTTTGGCAAATGTGCTTTGTGAAAACTATTTACTTTGCAACAAGTGTTTTATTTTATTTTTTGTTTCACTGTATTTTTACTTTACACATTAAAGAGGGCCATGCATTAAATTTTAAAATTTTTTTAATGATTTAGAAATCAAAGCAACAGCTATTCGTAATTACTTAGTCAATGATAGAATCGAGCGTGCAAAATAGCGGAAAAAAGAAAGAAATAAAATGTTATTATTTGACCTTAAAGTACAGTACACTTGTTCGATCGCAAAAGCGAATGCGTTGTAACATTTTAACGAATGTACGATCAGACATTTCGAATTTCGAACAAATAATCAACTTATTTAAGAAATCGCCAATGGAAATAACGAATTTCCACTACATTGTGTTACTGTGTTCTTTATGAAATCGCTGGTAAAGCGAAAAAGTGAACGGAATAGCACCACGCGGCAATTGGAGTGATGTCTTTTGAAAGAATTGTGTATTTACGTTTCACACGATATAAAGAATTATCCCCGTGAAAATGCTTCTCGATAAGCTTTTAATCGACTTTAGCGCGCATGATCGCAAAGAAGCGGCTTTAATGCACACTAAAAGCCACTTTATACACAAATAAAAGTTGCGCATTGAATTTTTCAGCGAAGCCTTTATTTAGCGGCGACGTGAACTCGTCGCGGCGTCACTCGACGACGTTGCACTGGCGGATTCGCATTAAAGTCGCCTCGAGAAATCGTTGGCGCGAGAAAAAAAGGGGCCGATTCGCTCAGCCGCCGAGTACAAAAAGAGACCTTACCCCCTCGCAAACGGATCGTCGGTCCACTTAATCGCAATCACAGCCGTCGATCGCAGCACAGCACAGTGTAAAAAGGTAAGAGGAAAAGCAAACAAGCGAACGAGCGGGCGTACAAAGGAAGAAGATCGCCCCCGCCGGTGCAGCGGGGGGGGGGGGGGGGGGGGGGGAGAAAAATCGACGTCACTGGCGCGTTCGGATTACCTTGTGTGCTCGTGGCCACGTTAGGAGACAGCGTCGATGGAATAAAGAAGCGCAGAGACTAACGCGCGGAAGGGGCGTGCGAGTCGCTAGAAAAGGGCTCTGCGTTGTGCGTCCCCACCCGAGGCCGGCGCTGCTTTTATATGGGACGTGTCGGCGAAGATCGCGGGCGCGCTCTCCGGCAGCACGGCGAAAAAGGTAGGGGTCGCGCGCGCGCGCGCGCGCGCACGCACCTGCCTTTGCTTTAATGCGCCGAGGGCCTAATTGCTTGCTCTACCGCTCTACGTGGTCGTCGCTCATTCATCGTCCGGCTTTCTCTTCGATTCTTAATAGCTTCCTTTCTCGCCTTTTCTCCTCTTCCTACTTTGTTTTTCTTTTTATCGTGTCTTCCTCCTCTCTTTTTCAGCTTTACAGCGTCGCGAGGGATTGATGGTGCCGTGCTCTTTCGGTTTTCCTCAACGATAAGAGCCCCCCTTTTACGGGCGCGAATCCATTTTGCGTATTTTCGCTTCGCTTTGTTTTTTCTTCCAATAAGCAAGAGGGAGCTCGCGTGCGTTTGGTTGCGTCAGCGCTGCGCTAAAGCTTCGCTCTTGCGAGTGACCTAGCAAACGTGTGAACTGCGCCAGCGTAACGCTTGGCTTTTACAATGTTCCCGGGTCCAATTGTTTGACCGAGCTAATTAACAAATCCATCGGCTCGTTTGCGGCCCTTGTCCCTCAAACTTTCGGACGTTAATATTTCCTAAACTCATAATCATGAACTTTGCACTTTCAACATTACTGCATCTTTCGAAGCAAACATTTCCCGTTATTTAGCCTTGTATTTTCTATTTTTTCTCGAATAAATCCTAGACAGCGAAAGATCGGACTATCAAATTACGTCACACGTGCAGCACCGGGTAAAACACTAAATATCTAAATCCAGCACGGATAATTCTTCCGGCGAAAAATCTTGACTCGCACCAGTCTATATATACATTGATTCTTCAAGACGATACAGCTGTCAATAAAAGCCTGCTTGTTTCGGCCAACTTTCGGCTAGATTGACTCGCCGTTTTATTTGATCAAAGCCGAGCTAATTTAGTCTTCGAGAGAGACAACGATATTGTTTTCGCGATAAAATAAGTTACGTTTCTTTTTATATCGCATTTGAAAAAAAAAACAAAAAAAAAACAAAAATCTTCGAGATTAACACTAAACCACTTTCCCGACGTACAATCGAAGGATTATAGTGAGTCAGACCGCATAGCGTCAAAGTAGGTGTATACTCGACGTCGGTATGCTGCGCTCGTGACATACATTAATTAGCAACGCGGAAGAGATACCGGGAAGCATTCGACAGATTTAACCTTGTCATTTGGGACGTTAGCGACGACGAAAAAAGCCATTGATGTATCTTTTCCTGGCCAATCAAAGACCAATTGTCTTTGGATTTCGACGTGATCGCACGCGTAGTAGGCATCACGCCGGTGCAGATATTTCCGGAAACGATTGGAACCCGCAAAATTGCGTCACCTCCGCAATCACGCTTTTCGCATTAAATTTCATTGGAATAACAAAGTCGCCCGACAATCCGAGGGCACATTATTAAGCGAGTTCACTTGTGAAATAGGCCATATGTATTCTCGATTATGCGTTGCAGCGTTTGCATAGAATAACCGACGGTCCTGATTTGATAAATAAATTTTCGCTCAGCGACGATAATTACGATGATCAAAAGGAATCGAATAAAATATGCCTACAGGAATTGCGGATTGAATTACATACTTTTGACACTGAAAACATTTCACGAGTGTTGTATTCGAGCTTAACGTTAGCGAAACAACGGAAATCTGTAAAATATTGTTTGCGTTTGTTTGTATTCGACTTCGCACGTCTACGTTCGCAATGCAGACATCGATTGGACATTATCCGGCTATTAACTCGTTAGCTCGAAACTTGCTTTTTCACGCGTCGCGCCGCGCTTTCTTTCTAAATACAACACGTCATCTCGTGCTTTCCTCACAAAAGCACGTCGACTTCACCGCGCCGGAGGGGGGGGGGGGGGGTGAGATTCGTAAAACCGTGCCGTATATTCCGCGCATGAAGAAGCGCCAGGTGCCTGTCAACTCTGCCGTCGGGGAAAACGCGAGGAAAAGAAAAATAAGCGCGCGCACTTAATACGCGACGCCCTGGCTTGCGCCAATATTCGCGAGGCTATGCAAACCAAGTACACTCGGATTAACAATAAGCGGTCGAGCTTCGGGCAAATAAGACGATTACGAGCTGGCAGCTGCTGCTGCAGCCTCCATTCTACGGGTCTTAACCGCTCGACCCGATATCCCTTTTCTCGTTCCGCATTTTCATTTCGCGAGCTGTAATGAATTACGACGCGCGCGCGCCGCTTTGGCGCGGGACCAATGGTCCTGTTTGCCGTTCTGTAATCGGATTAACATTGCCGTATCTCGGCTATAGGATGCCGACTCGTTCGCGCGGGATTCGCCGAGACGCGCTCGAGCGGCACGTCTACAAGTATATAATTCCCGCGCGCCTGCAACGCCCGGCTCAACCTGTTGCACCGCGACGCGCGCGGCGCGCCCGACCGAACTCGGCTGTCGCTACTCGCTCGCCCGCGTGTCGCGGGGATCGCGGCTGCTCGTTCGAATGGACGACACGCAAAGCCAGGGGTTACGACTTCGCGTGCACGCTGCTCGCAGCTGTACGGGCTTTTACGAGGAGGTCGGAGAAGCTAGCTCGCCCCCCCTCCCCCTCCAGCGCGCCCGGCGAGTCGCCAATTTTTCACGACTTCCGGCGATTTTATGGAGCACCGTCCGTTTCTCACCTCCGAGCCCTGCGATTTCTTGGAACGCGCACGCACCCACCACCACACGTCGACCCGCGTACGTTTCGCTTGATTTGCCTTTTTCTCGCGCGACTCTTGTGGTCTCTCGAAATGCTTTTCATGTTATTTTCGGAACTCGTTCAACATTCACGATTCGCACGGCCGTTTATTTGTTCGCGTACTTTTTGGAATTGTTATTCTTCTCGCAACTTTCCACGAAACTTTAGCTTTGCGTTTTTTGAAACTCATTCAAGTATTATTTATTTAATGCGTACACGGGTACATATGTGCGCGCGTGTGTATACATATCCTCTGAACGACAATATTATACGTTCGATGAAGTATAATATCCAAAAGGTTGCGAATTACCAATATTTTCAACATCAATGTGGTATTGAAGGTAGAGTTAGACTCGAAAGGATCTCTCAACATTATCCAATGGTCAAATGAAAAAGAAACACATCGAAACTAATTTAACGATAAGAATTTGAAAGTAACGAAAGAAACGATAACCATTTAACAAGTATCACGAGCAGCCTTCCGACACTCGACGCAAGCGCAGTGGATCATCGTCGCCTACAATCGCACGCATGAATACTCGCGCATAGTGTGCACTTAATGCGTCATCGCTCGTGCACGCGCCCGACGTCTTTACGCTCGATCCGAGCCGTTCGTCGTCGCGCCTCCGAGTCCCTGCTCCCCTACGACGTCACTGTTGCAGTCGTCATTTTTAACGGCTACTTATGCGCGCTTACAGCTTGGCGCTCTCGTGCGTTCGCTATTATCGATGTTTCAGCTCGAGGCGCGAGTCATTTGTGTCGCTGACGCGTCGCGGCGCGACGCGCGAGATACAACGAAGAGCTGGCGGTCGCGTACGCGCGTAAGGCAAGACATCGACAAACGTCACGCGCTCACTGGCGCCTCCCTGGCAATTCCGAAACGCAGGCGAGCTCCCTCGGGCTCGCGATTAGCAGCTCGCTCGTATCTCGGACGCCATTGTTATGCAGCGATAAGGCGCTTAACGGGAGATTTCCAAACCGCTCTTGCTTGCCCGTTCGCCGTCGTAGTCCGGCGTAAGGTAGAGCGCGCAAATGCGGCGGTGCGACGGCGACGGCGCGTCCGCGTTCGCTGAGCTATTCTTCTGAATTTCACGATAGAAGGAAAAATCCATAGTTATCCCGCGGAGTTGTCACGTCAACTCGAGCTCGATCAAGTATTTATCTAGTTATTAGAACGGTTAAGGCATTCTACAAATCATCTGCTTATCTTTAGGTATTGAGGTGTAGTGATAAGCGCCTGAATTAAACAATGGAGATCGATCCCGTGAGAATACCTACTTGGTAGACTGAAATAATCATGTCGGCGAATATTTTATCCCAAGTAAATTGAAATTTTTTCCGGGGAGATGAAAAAAGTTTAGTCTTTTTCATGAACACGACATTTCATCGCTATAATGACTTTTTCTTCTACACGAGGAATTTTACACGGAATCCTCTCATTCGCATGAACTTCCGTGTAATTTTGCATCCTCTTTATCGCTCACCTCTGGAGTCTCTGAACATTGCATCCAATACATTGTAGGCTGTAAACGAGGCATTCGGAATCTGAAAGCAAAACATGTTTTCGAAAGCTCTTGTAAAAATTGAGCCGCGACAGTTGACAGTAGTCCTCGCATGAATGACTCGACGGCTCGTTTCGAGCAGCATATTCTTCTTCTCGCTTGGCCCGTCGTTTCGGATGTTTCGATTCCCTGGGAATCGAACACGGGCTCAGTTTCGCTTCGCACGGCCAGGCAGCTTGTTCCAAGTGTACCTCCGACATGAGCTCGCTGCCGAACGAAAGATAGAAAAACGCACTTGTACGCTAGATATGGAGTTGATTCGTCGATCGACGAGCCCACGATCCTTCTGTCAAAGAGTAACGTTAATCGTTGGCTACCTTATCCGAGATTACCAGCTGTGCACGCTCGTGGAAATTGTTACGAGACTCCAGAATAAAAATAACACGACGACAACCGTGAAAATGGATCGGGGGTAGCGAACGACGTGTGTCGCATCTCTTGATTTTCGCGAGCTTGCATCCGCGACTAGTACAAATCGATTTGACCACAAATCAACCGTGCGAATACAGCCAGTACGGTGTCCAAAGAAATGTTCGTCGCAATCGTGACGGCAGAAGCGCACGCCTCAAAGGCATAAGTAACGGGGTAACAGAGGCGCGCGGTCTTTGCCGCGAATCTCGTAAGTCTCCATCGGGAAATTCACGTTGGCAGTTCCTTCGTTCAAGCGCGGCAGCAACAAACGAAGCGAAAGCGCAGACGCGAGAGCCGCGCACTTGAAAACTGTCGATACGAGTAGAGCATTATTTTTCAATATATCACGCTCTTCGGCTGCCCGCGCGTGGCAAATCGACTCGCGAAATTCGCTCAGCGACGAGCTCACGACGTCGCGCTTGTACAAGAAATTAATCATCGTGACGAACACGGCGAGCGCCGTTCAAGATGAACACGAAGACAACGCTGACACTCAGCGCTTGTCAGATCAATCTTGCGAATACTCACCGAAGTACAGAACACGAAAACGCAACGGTAGTATATTTATTTTTTTTCCTTCGCAATGTAGCGATGACCCATTGGCACATGGTGTGGAATTACATATCATGAGATATAATACGGAGAATTGAACATGTTACGTGGAAAGTAATTACCATCCTATGATACTCGTTCATCAAAGTCATTGTAATTCATGAATTCTGTTCTAATTGATTAATGATACCTGAAATAAAAAATGTACATGATCGAGATAATCTATCAATTGATGCACAAATATATTCGCTCGCTCATCCGCAAAAATTAAATAAATTTCGAGCTTCGTTTAGGACGTTACGTGCTACAATCTAGTTCTTGTTCTATCACAACTCTTTGGTTGAATATCTACTGCTATGGTCATGTATTCAAACTCGTTTTCTGCTTGAATAATTTGCCTTCTCCGACTAAAATATTTATTCAATCATTATAATTAAAATGTAGTTATGAAATATTGTTGTGCCTCATAATTATTGTATCCCGATTTAGAATTTTTACAGTTACCATTTTCTTTACACTTCGTGTGATAGCAAAGATCAGCATGTACGAATGAAAAAAAAATATTGATTTCTGCAAAACTAGAGGCTTTCAAAATCATGGAAAGATTACGAAAAAAACAGCAAAGTTAGGTCGTAACTTTTTAGTAACAAATACATATTTGAATTCATTTGCGAAAAAAAAGAGAAAGTCAAAGTATAAAAAACTTCCTCTGATCCATGAATCCTTGATCCTTGAAAGTTTTCAAGATTTATAGTTCAAAATGTGTTATACTTTGCCCATAATAAATAACTTCACGCATTGGTTGGAAAAGTTTAAATCAAGTTATATTGAACTATTAAATGAAGTATATCGAAAGATGTCGTTAAAAACCTTTCAATCTTCTAAGAATTTTGAAGCCTGGGCTGCATTGAAATTTCACCAGCTATGTCCTTTCCTCCTCCTCGAGTAGTGAAAGTAATCGTAATGGACATTTAAAGTATTATAGATAAAACATTTTCAACAATTAATTTGTAGATGCTTTCAGCACCTACGTGTAGTTCTATATTCACAATTTCAAGCGAGCATTCTCAAATATCACTTACCCAAACACAGCTTTTCAGCGTTACAGTACGGAATCCATGAAACGATATGCTCAAAGGCTTACGGAAAGTTCCGATGATCCAGTTATTTATTACGATATGTATAACGAAATTACAATTGAAATTATATATCGTATTGGATATTTTATCTTTAAAAAAAATAAAACTGATAATTCCGTAATATTCTTTGTATGCTGAATGCAGTCGAAAATCATACCTGTCAAACGCATTGGTTTCCGATCCAATGGTATAAAAATTCTTGCTTGTGTATTGCATCCACAAGTTTTTTCATTGCGCAAAGTGTACACTTTCATAATTGCGAGAAACAAATCATATCAATTTGCGCGCAATTTAATTTAGCGCCGATAATTATATAGCTAACGACTGAAATGTGTAATTAAGCCAATGATAAATCCTACTGTCTTTGCCACGAATTTCGCGTGTGTCAAATAGACATTCGGAATTGTCGTGGGGAGGTGGACAACGGTCTGAGCCTCGTCAATGAAAAATCGATAAACGAATCGTGAGGGACGCCTCGTTCACGCTTCAGCCTCCGTCGCTGCTTTCGGGGCGCAGGTCTGCTCGCGACGTTTGCTCGGCCTATACGAAAAGCGCATAAAGAGGCGCGCGCAAGTTGACCATGCACTTGTCCTCGTGGCGATATTCTCGGTCGCGGGTGCAGAGGTCGACCAAAGCTCGATCGCCAGCGCTTCGATCGTTTCAATTTACGGCCGATCTCGACGGGCGCATGGGAGGCGTCTCGCCTCTGAAAATTCGAACTGGAGCGCCGAAGATTCGCCAGGACCGCAATTTGTGCACAATCAACCTAAATACGGAGAGCGAGAGAGAAAGAGAAGCCACGAACGGCCTCGCCCCTCAGCTTGTAAACAGCGCAATCACGCAATCGACACGTTTCGACTTATACGAGGCTCCTAAATCTCACGCAAAGTCATCAGACCTATACGCGCGCGCACACACATATACTAGCAGCTTGTCTTTTCTCTTCAATTAAGCTCGCACGAGCCCGTTAAATTCGACTAGGCACAGTATCATTTTTGGCGCCGAAATTATCGTCTCGCGTCTCGTTGCGTGGGCCGTGCGCGTATCGATCGCGCAGTGCATATACACGTCGCGCCGTGCGAACTAACACGTGCCGCGCGTTACTCCTCGTCCTCTCGGTGACCAACCATCCTTCGTCCCCCCCCCCCCCCTGACCCCGATCACAACTTTTCACGGCATGGCCCTATCTTAACGACCTCGGAGTAATGACTGCTCTGCTTTCGGCCGACGCTACGAGCGTGTTTCTTCGAGTGCCCGAGTTGGAGAACATTTAATTCGGTGACAGCGAGAAAGAAAGAGAGAGAGAGAGAGAGAGAGAGAGAGACGAGAAGCGATTAAATGCCGACGCGATTAAATTACTTTCTTTATAATCGTCAGGCTCTCGCGTAGCGAAACGAGCTTATGTTCCTTTCGCGCCTCGGGTCGTTTGTCTCGGCCGAGCGCCAAGTGGCAGCAGCTTGAAAAACGCGAGATGTCCTTCGAGTCGTCGGACCGTCAAACGCGCGTCGACCCCGTGGGCTTTACGACTCGAACGCCTCGGCCGCTCCGCAATTAACCGTCCGCGCGCGAATCCGTTCGCACGGGCGAAAAAGCGCGGGATACGTTTCGCGCGCTTGGGCGTGCCTCGGTGCAATAAAACCCGGATCCCTCGGCACCGCGAACGGTGCGTAAAGGGGTTCCCGTCCAGAATTTAAGCGCTGACGTCGATATCTCGCGCGTATATACAAGCTCAAATAAAAGGAAAGAAAAAAAGTACGGGACGGGGGGGGGGGAGAGAAGAGCTGGATAATGCGCATTACTCGCGCCCGATAAAAGGGACGCGCTCGTTGGGCGCAACGGTGCGTGGGCTGCTGCTGCTGCTGTTCCGTTTGCAGTTGTAATCGAGCGCGTTTTATTCCGGTTGTTCTCTCTCTCTCTCTCTCTCGCTCTCGCTCTCGCTTTTATGGCGCGTATCGAGCTAGTTTATTTATTTATTTTTTTCGAATTGTGTCTTCGATGGCGCCGATTGGCTATCAATTCCGCGGTAGCACGCTGTTTCATCGTAGCGAAGTTCAAAATCGAGTGGTCGTTAAAATTGCAAATCAAAGTCACGGCTGTCACGCGTACGAATCGTTTTTTCTTTTTTCTTTTTTTATTCTTTCTACGTCTTTAAAGTCCATAGAAAGGACGACTACGCAGCGCCGAAGAGAAGTGGCAGGAAATAGCATACGTGACAAGTGCTTGCCACTCCCCGCGGCACGAGCGTGTTCGCGTTCGATACGCGATTTCCGCAAAAAGAAGCGGAGGAGCTAATCTCGAAAGCGTAAGCGATTTCGCTGCAGTTGGAGCGATGTAGACGTCAATTTGCGCGTAAATCATCGGCTTTATTTTTCACCCGCGGATAAGCTGTCCGCTCGAAGCTCTCCGGCGAGGATACCGCGCGTCTCCGAAGGATATACGAACGAGGGGGTTTTTATTCCGCGCCGGCAGAGTCCTAATTGTTTTTCGCGAGTCGCCCACGCGAGGCGACGAGTCCCCCGTTCGCTACGGGAAAAATCAGGATCGAGGCGCGCCGCCAGCGTCCCGATGCTTTCGAATACGCACGTGTCCGTATTGCGCGTGACGCCCGTCGTCGGGGCCGCGTGCATTATAAAATCTCGCAGTGTATGAATTTTTCACGGCACCCCCCTCGCCGCCCTCGCATCGCGCGTCGCGCGCGCAATTGAAGACGCGTACGAGCCTATGTCGTTTTGAGCAGCTGGCTCGCGCGCGAGACCCGACGAACTTGATGCCGTCTCTTTCGACAACGAGTCGGGCCGTCGTGAATTTCCGAAGGATCGACGTAGCTACCGCTGTCGCAAGTTCGGAGCCACGCCGAGCTCGTGGCTTTCTCGCCTCTCTACCTTCGCGCGAACGTATCGAGGCTCAGCCGTGGTAGGCCTCGGTCTAATGTACATGCTTAATCGACTGGAACGTGTGACGCGTTCGAGATGCACTGAAATGAGGAATACGTAGCAGTGAGTAAGCAACTATATGAAAAATAAAAAATGCGCTCTCCGACGTGACCTAATTTCGCACGCGCGCACTCACCATAATCGAAATAAAAATCAACTATTTAG